TGATAATAATTGTCATTGCTGTTTGAGATTTAATTTAAGAGTAACTCCAGATAATACTTTTGCGTCTTCACTTAAAAAGCTACAGATTCGAATGCAGAAATTTGTGATTTGAATTCTGCAGTGTATATTGTTCTCAGAATAAACTTAATTTAGATCACTTTAAATCAAATACAATGCAAAAATATGTTTAGCGTGTATAGATTTATGCATCGTAAAATTCCGGTATTCCATGCAAAAATATTGAAGGTATAGAAATTACTGTTAATAGAATTTTGATTTATTGGTTGGTAGACTGGAACAAAGATAACGAGCACAGAATTTCAGAATTTACGGAAAATATTAAAAAATGCGTGGTTGCATTTTTCTTTTTTCACGGTATAACAATGGCAATAATTACGTTTAGAAATATATAAAACATCAGTTATATATTCATTACTATAGCGGAAACTCCTCTATCTGAGATATAATCATCGTGGTATCCTGTAAGAGGGCGGAAATAATGAACAATTTCTCATGTATAGATTTTAAATTTAGAATTATGCATACAATTGTCAACATCTCAAATATAGAGACCACGGACATATGCGATTTGAACCGCACTATGGTGCGATGTGATAATTTCAAATGTGCGATATTTATGCGAGGAACCATATACATATTTCGTATTGTTATAATTTTGATCTATCATTGTATAATGTGATAATTAAGGATTTAAGATGATTTAACAATTATATACATATGCTTTTATTATTCGTTTAAAAATGCTCGCACAAATGCCGCATAAATCTCGTAAAAACAATAACAACTAATCGCATTTTATGCGCCTATTATGTGATCGCATCTGTCCGTGGTCTCTACTCAAATATTCTATTATTGCATTTGCTGCGGTAATTTACATTGTTTCAAATATTCTTTCTTGATGCTTCAAAATTTGAAGTCACGAGTAATTACACATCTTAATATAACTTGCATGTAATATACTGTATATATATTTTATATCGAATTGTCTTTTAACCAATTAAACTCTAACATAATTTAAATCAGAGGCGGGTAAAAATTTTTCACTAATCCAGTTTAAGATCAGGACATCCTTCAAACAATTAATTATTAATTGGAATTTTTGTTACGCATACGCCGTACGTACGCACGTACGCTATGCCGGAAATTCCAATTAATAAATTAATTATCCTTGCTGCTATTGCTGTATATGTAATCGCTGTAAGTAGTGTTCCAATTTGGGATTTTTGCAGAACATTATATTATATAATAATATAAGTGACAATTGTATGCGTAAGTCTAAATTTGGGAATTTCACCTCTGCATATCTGATGCTTGCTTAAGATCGTGTTAAATAAAAGGTCTGTTTAATGAACTCGAAATGATAGAGCAACAAAGGCAAAATTAACTCCTGATAAATTACCACCTGCATAATACATGTTTACGAAATGTAGAAGTTATTAATTGCCAGGAACTATTTTGAGAACAAAGCAAGTGCCAAGAATTCTTTAAATTATTTTCGATATGTTCGAAAAATCTATAAAAGAGCTCCACTTCCATCCAACATCATTATTCGCATCGAATTCAAACTTAACAAAAGAAAATCATTTCTCTTTACATTCAAATTCTTAATCTTCATCATGGTCGCCAAATCATTCGTTTTCATCGCCTTGGTTACGTTGAGCATTGGGTTCGTACTCTCTGGGCAGGCAAATCCTCTGCCTAACAATAAATCACCCCAACTTTTCAAACGCAGCGGCTGCGAGGATGGTTCTTATTATAGCAACAATTATGTGAAAATCCCATGTGATTACGAGATAACCAAGGATTGTGTAATCTACATCGGCCAATATGTGATTCCTAAACCAGCCATTATATATCATAGTAGTAATGTGTTGATTAATTTAGGAGCATGTGATGGTTTAAATTTGGAAACTCCAATTAAATATATGAAGATTACAACCCCAAGATACGGTATACATCGCATATATGTTAGACCTACGCACACGACTTATGATTATTCTGAAGAACATAACTCTAGCACTAGTTCCAGTTCCAGCTCTCATAGTGAGTTGCATGTCCATGGTGGTGATGATGATAGTTGTGGCTCTGACTCTGATGATTGTGGAAGTCATGGAGGTCCTGGAGGTCCCGGAGGTCCAGGAGGTCCTGAAGGTCCTGAAGGTCATGGAGGTCATGGAGGTCATGGAGGTCATGGAGGTCCTGGAGGTCCTGAAATTCCTGCAGGTCCTAAATGTCCTGAATGTGAACAAACATGTCAGACATGTGGCAATTAACTTGAACTTTCATATATTTTGATTCTCTATGAACGAATAGTTTAAAAAAAATTTTTTCTTTTATTTGTTATATTTACATGAGTATTTTTAGACATAGACAATGTGGTGATTTTTAGACCTTTATTACCATAGTTTATAAGGGTATTTTTAGACATAGACAATATGGTGATTTTTAGACCTTTATTACCATAGTTTATAGAAAAGTTTTCGCATACATAATTAAAATAATAAAATAAAGAAAAATTTTATTTGACATAGTATTGTTCACTACTTTTAAGTTTTGAAAATATAGTACAAATGAGTGTCGCCAAAAGTAAACCCGACAATTTAAATATATACTATATTTAAATTGTCGGCGACACTCAAATAATAAAATGGTTTATTATCAAATTTAGAATCGACATGTTTTGTTCACCGACAACCAATCTACTAACAGTTACTTCACCACTAATAATAATATTTAATTACGTGTACGATTACTATCATAACGTAAATTAGCATAAAGAGATTGAATAAAACTATTTTTTAGAGGTTTATCAAGCTTATTTGTAAATGTTTCGCATACATTACTGGCCAATTAAGTATAAATCAAATAAATTTTGAGTGTTGGTAGAATTAGTGCTTGGATCCGGATAAACCTCCTGTTTTTTTAATCCTCTTAATCCGAATTTATAAACGGATATTATTAAGTTATCCGGTTTTTAATCCGGATTCTATCCGGTTTAATATATTCATAACGAATTTATAAATTACAGTAAGTTACATGTATCACGAAGATTGCAAATACATGTGACTATACAGCAATATAATCTCATTACCAAAAGCCAGATCGTCACATGTATTTGAGTGTCAAACAAAAGTTTGATTTTGCCGAGCACTAATTGGGTGACCGAATTTTACGTGTACTCGATAAACATTATACAATTAACAATTTTAGTGACATAATTATTTTTTGAAAGATTCCTGTAGTGATATGAGTTGGTAGCTGCCTGTAGGTATCTACCGGTAGATCTTATGGATACTGTTAGGTCAAGAATATGCAAGGGTAGATACCAGCAGCTATCAATAAGTTAGCTTTTATATCATCATAAACTTCATTACAGTCAATCTTCATAAGTGTAGTGCATAATCATGTGATCTTATTTCTATAAGTGCTCATTATATAATCTGAAAACTTTATTAAAGATTGGCCTAAATGCTCATTTCCAAACGACGTGCGCTTATGGAGGGTTGACTGTATTTGATACTTAGTACCTACAGGTAGCTATCAATTTTCTGTAGTTAACATCTACAACAGGAGGGAACGTACCTAAAAATAGAACAGGTTACACAATTTATCAAAGTCGTAATTTATACAGTTTAAAGT